CAGGCTGAACACCCCCAACTCTCAACCTTTACGTGGGCGAAGCCAAATAGTAAAGCAGCTCTGAAAATGCAGCACAAGCGCTTGATGCGAATGAAAAAACTCTGCAGCTACAGGGAGTTAAGAAACAATGTGGAAACAGTTGATGTGATTCAAGGATAAGAGGTTTGAAGGTGCAGTTTTCATCATGTGCTGTATTTCCTAGCAAATACGCCAAGCTCTGCTTGGGCTGACGCCGGGCATGAAAACACAAGAAAACAACTGATGCTCCCCAGAATTATGTTATTTTTCATTGGAATATTATTTTATTGGAAGGGATGTGTCTTACTTCCACATCTCAGAACAGAAGTGATGAATGTGACACTTAAGTTTTCACTGATGGGCTTTTAATTAAAGGAGTGTAGCTGATACAGGCCATTGCTATGGATGACCACCTTTGATCCTTAGAAAGGCAGTATGGGGAAGTTCTAATATACCTTTGTGAACCCGTTTTCTTCTTTCTCATCACTTTTGGGTTACTAAGCAGAGCTGTTTTGTTCACCGTATCCGTTTTAAAAACGGAAATGGAATATTCTCACTTCCTCCTACTGACAGGCATTCCCCGTGTGTGCATCCCTGCAGGTGTGTTTTCGCTAACTTCCATTGCAGAGCTACACTAACTCACTGAAGTTTCTTTTCTTTTTTTCCCCCTTCAGTGTGCAGTTAACAGGTAGAGGAGGGACTTGGGAGAGGTGTACAAAACTTGCATTGATAGGAAACAGTTAACTTCCATTCTCTTTTTCCATTCAAATGTAATTATCCTGTTGCGGTGGTGTAACCAGAGTTCTGGGAGGGAGGAGAAGCAGGGAAAGGAGAGGAGTGAATGGCAGGAGGATACCAGATTTTTCTTATGAACTCCATTCTGATCTACTGCTTTCTCAACTGGAATTAGAACAAATCCTCAGTGCTTGAAGTAGGCTAATATATCTGTGTAAGCAGTACACCTTGAAATTTTGAAAGCCTGAATAGCAAATGAAACTAAAATTACGTGATTAGGTGATTTCTCTGAAGCTTTGTGGTGCTCAGAAACAGATGCAATTGTCTTGATTATCTTTTTGTGTGTGACGTCAATAAGACAGGTTTATTTATGGACTTTTTGAAGCTTATGCATACTTCAGCATCGATTGAACCAGTCCTGGAATCAAATCTCACATTTTATTTCTGTAGGTGGAAGCATCTTCTGCTTTCTACAGAAATTCATTTGGTAGATCTGTGAAAGGGGCATTTGTTTGCTTCATGGTACAAAAACTTACACACCATGAAACTTTTTTCCCCTGATGTATATGAGAATGGAAAGAGTTTCTACTGAATAAAATGAAGTTAATGATATTTTGTGAGTAAGTAGCAGAATAGTAATTCATGGCAGTTAAATAGGAAGACATACTTGTTGTGATTCTATGTTTCAGAGTATGGACCTGTGGCCATAATTTCAAAGGTAAAAATTAGTTTCTGAACAACTCTGTGAATAAGGGGAGATTCTGAAAACAGAAGTTATTTTAAATACTGAGTATTTAAATATTTAAATACTGAGTTTCTTAAGGGAAAAAAAAGGAGACATTGTCTCTTTGCTGCTACCACAGAAAATACCGGGAAGTTAACTGCAGCGGCGTGAGGCCGGCGCCATCTAAGGAACACAGACTGTAGAAGCAGAGGAACCCGCACTTTCTTGTTCTGTCTTTGAGAAGAGTTTGCTTCCGCTGGAGCTTTTTTGCTTACGTCACTGTGGAATCTAGAGGTTGTTGGTAAAACAGTGCAAGAATTTAAGGTGATGGATGCAGAACACACTGATACCAGACTTTGTTTGCTTAGCAGTCAGGCACTGCACTGTTTCAGCTGAATTGTAAGATACGTGCACCAGTTTTGCGTAGAGTGTGTGTTCATATAATGGTTTAAAATGCTGACGTCCATGCTGGAACAGGGACGGGGGGCTATCTGTGCTTGCAGAAAGCAATCTATTGCTACAGAAAGCAATGTCGGATTTTAGGAACTGCATTTAAATTTTTTGACTGTGGAAGTATAGAATCAGAGAATGGTTTGGGTTGGAAGGGACCTTAAAGATCATCTAGTTCCAACCCCCTGCCATGGGCAGGGACCCCTTCCACGAGACCAGGTTGCTCCAAGCCTCATCCAGCCTGGCCTTGGACACTTCCAGGGATGGGGCATCCACATCTTCTCGGGGCAACCTGTGCCAGTGCCTCCCCACCCTCTCCATGAAGAACTGCTTCCTGATATCTAATCTAAACCTCCCCACTTTCAGTTTAAACCCGTTACCCCTTGTCCTGTCACTACAGGCCCTTGTAAAAAGTCCCCCCCAGCTTCGTTATAGCCCCTTCAGGTACTGGAAGGGGCAATAAGGCCTCCCCGGAGCCTTCTCTTCTCCAGGCTGAACAAGCCCAACTCTCTCAGCCTGTCCCCATAGCAGAGGGGCTCCAGCCCTCGGAACGTCTTTGTGGCCTCCTCTGGACTTGCTCCAAGTGGTCAATATCCTTCTGATGTTGAGGGCTCCACAGCTGGATGCAGCACTCCAGGGGGGGTCTCACCAGAGCAGAGTACAGGGGCAGAATCCCCTCCCTCGACCTGCTGGCAAGTATACAGACTTGTTCAAAATCAGTCCGCTCTTACAGAAGGGTAGCAGAAGCAAGTGTGGGGGAATTGTCGCGTCGCAGTGGGGACTCAAGAAAAGTGGAGCAAATTCAGACTCGGAAGTGCTGTGTCTGATCTGCTGGAAGGAAAGCTAATGGCTTAGAAGAACCTGCTGCTCATGATGCTGTTGTATTCTAAGCCATTTATGAAAGAGTTAAGCATTGTGAGATTTTTAGCTTCCACACCCTCTTCAAGGTTTTTGGACTTTCAAAGTACGTCTGTAGCTGTTCAGGCTATGGGGGACGTAAAAAGTTGAGAACACTTGGGAAGGCTTCCTGTTCAGTTGAAGAAACATTTTTAGATTATAATTTACAAACAAGTTTCCTAAAAACAATCACTTTCTTCAAAGTGGTTTCCCAGTAATGTGTTCTGCTACAGCTTAACTTGTAAAAAGGTCTTTTTGTGTTGAAATGACAAAAACAGTATACAGCTTGTTAATTGGCAGATTTAAAGCTTCTAAAGAACTAGATATTTTGAGTGTGCTGGTATAGTATGTGTTGTGTTTATTAGCCGTGTGTGCTGTGCATTGCAATTTAATCCATTTTAGCTTGATGGCAAAATTTGTTTTCTTTCACAGAGTGAAGATACACAGCAACAAATTATCAGAGAAACTTTCCATTTAGTATCGAAGCGCGATGAAAACGTCTGTAATTTCCTAGAAGGAGGACTGTAAGTGTTAAGTTTGAAATAAATGCCCAATACTTACTGACTAGAAAATGTTATTGTATTGTAATGTAAATACCATGTCACTTGAGGTATTTTAACTCACAGAGAATACCGTGTTGCACCAGGTTTACGTATTGTTTACTAACTGAAGCATGCATAAGTATATAGATGTGTCAAAGTTGCCTTTTATTTAGGCAATAGAACTACTTTTTTCTAGTGTTGTAACCAACAGTGCTGTATCTAGTGCTATAATTGTTTCAGGCACAAGATGGCGAGGAAACAGGGGGATGATACCTAACCAGCTTCCCTGTAATCAAGCTAAAGGTTTCTGGTCCCGTTTGAAGAGGCATTGACATTTTCCATGCCCATGGAGAAAATATTTTGTGGCTGGTGCTTTGGCTTAAGCTTTTAATGTTTGAGTGGACACTCTGTAATGGTAGGATTCCCCAGGCTTTTTATCAGGCTTACTCTATGAATTAGGAAGAAAAAAAAAGAAGTTTTAACTGTGCTAACTAATGCAGTTTCAAACAAGATTTTTTTTTGTTAGTATGGCTAAAGCAAGGTAGAAGGAAAGCCAGACTTACATCTTCTGTCTCGAGAAGACGCACACAAAACATTCTTTCTTGAATCATCTCGTTTGTTTTTTTTCAATATGGTCTTGCTTTAGCTGAAAAGAATAAATTCTGAAATGGAAAAGTGTGTAATTTTGAGACGTTAGTTATCAGGAGTAAATCGTTACAAAGCCACCTTCTAGGAAAAGGGGTCATAATTGGTGGAGTAAGCTCATGGTTTTCAGTCTGAAGACAGAGATTGTCATGGCTTGTTAAATACTGTTATTATGGAAATACCTGATTACTGAAGGTTAGTATGTTAACACCTGAGTTTTCTGTGTCTAGAGTCAGTTAAATGCTTAGCTGTACCGTGTCAGCTGTGATGTCTTTCACCTCATCAAGATGATTCCTCAGTTTTTAATTTTATTACTTCTTAAACTAAAATAATTCTCCTCCAACTGGTGATCCTGTTGTTAGGTTCTTGGGGATGATTTCAAGCTGGAAACATGCTGGCTTGAATTCTGTAAGTGAAAGACAGAAGCCATTTGCAGCCTTTTAAAAAAATAACAGCTGTGCAACAGGAAGACTAAGACAGAGAACATGATTCTGGCTCTCCTCCTACTGCTCAATCCCAGAGTTACCATTTCAATGTATTTTTTAGATTGTGTGGGGTTTTTTTTCCTTTTTTTTTCTTTCCAGGACAGGGATCATAGAATCATAGTATGGTTTGGGTTGGAAGGGACCTTAAGGATCATCCAGTTCCAACCCCCCTGCCATGGGCAGGGACACCTTCCACTAGACCAGGTTGCTCCAAGCCTCATCCAGCCTGGCCTTGGACACTTCCAGGGATGGGGCATCCACAGCTTCTCTGGGCAACCTGTCCCAGTGCCTCCTCACCCTCTCTGTGAAGAATTTCTTCCTGATATCCAATCTAAACCTCCCCACTTTCAATTTAAACCCGTTACCCCTTGTTCTGTCACTACAGGCCCTTGTAAAAAGTCCCCTCCAGCTTCCTTATAGTTTAGAGTTTACCCAAAGGCCTCAACAGTTTATATATGATAACTCTGTTTACTGAAGTGTTTGAAAGAATTGGGTAAATAAAGCACAAAAGAGGAAACTTGAATTGCCATTCCTGTCCACTTTCACATTTGTTTGTCATATTTTTGTCTGATACTTCTTAAACATAGTTCCTCCTCTTCAGGAATAAAGGGCTCCCTCTCCCTCCACCCAAGCATTAATGCAAAGCCATGTTCTTAAGCAAAAGTGACCTAAAAGATTTCTTGTTCTTACTATTTATTTTCATATTCGCTCTCAGAAATTCTTACAGAATTTTTTCAGGCAGAAACTAAAGGCATGAGTTATGATACACTTAACAGGTAATTAATTTCTGGTACAGAATTAAGGGGGAATTATGATGTTCTTAGCCTTGTAGGTTCAGGCTACAAAATATTTAAATTTTTGTTTGAGTGGGCCTCCTGCTGCTCAAAGCAAATGTCAGTGATCTGAAGAGCATCTCTTCTTACGATTTATTTACCTTCTTTGAGAAGGCTACAGCAGAAGAGTGGAAGGAAATACCTGTTTAGACCTCTTCCTCTCTTGCTCAGTAACTTGATGATTAGCGAGTCCATGAAAATTTAATTGCCTCTGTGACTTTAACATCACATCACAGACTGTTGGTTGTAGCACAGTCTTATTTCCCAAGGTATCACACATTTTGTAGCACAAGAGGGTTACGTGTTCTTGGTTATTAAGTAGACCATAAACCCAATTTAAGTCTTTTTCTCTGTAATCCAAATGACAGTCTTCACTGTAGTTTTCTTTTTCTGTTGATGCTTCTCTGAGAAGTACAGGGAAGGATTCATAGGCATACATACGCTCTGTTAATCTCTAAAGCAGATTAATCCCTGTACACTGCCCACTAGTGTGTAATGGAATTACCATTAATACCCATTTTTTGCTGAAACTGCATGATCTGTTTGAATTGATTTTGATAAAAAGGTGGGTATGTTGATGTGATTATTATCTGTCTGGGTAACAGTAACTGCGCTTGGGTGGTAAATACAATGTCGGCTGTCTTCGTACTTAGTGTTCTCCCACTGTAATTATATCACAAAATAAAAATTGTGATAAGAGTTGGATTTGGGACAGTTCCAGCCCTCCATTAGCAATAGGCCTCCTGTTAACTGGAATAACTGTGGGGATTTGCCCAGCTTATCCCGAGATGCTGGCTAAGCTTTCCTGTTTTCTTTGTTGTTCAGATTGATAGGTGGATCTGATAACAAACTAATTTACCGACACTATGCCACCCTGTATTTTGTCTTCTGTGTGGATTCTTCAGAAAGTGAGCTTGGCATTTTAGACCTCATACAAGTAAGTTGTTTTTTTTTTTTTTCCTCCTTTGTTTTTTTTAATAAGTGGAGTTCTACTTCCCAGCTACAGAATTTCAGTGTTTAGCAGTGCAGCTTTTCAAGGCCTTGATTTGACTGCAGGTAGAAATGGCACAGTTCAAACATTCTCTGGACAGGTTTAGATGATGAGCACCTTGACACATGAAGCTCTAGTGTGCATATGGATTCACTACAAATATGTAAGGGATTAACACATCCAAAACCTCCTTGGATGAAACTTTTGTTGTGTCTTATGAGCCTTTGGTCAGATAGGCCACAGAAAATGAGTGCCAGTGCTGCTCTAGGGATGTGTTCTGCACCGGGAGTGGGGTGGGTGGGGAGAAGTGAGGAGAAAGAGAGCCTTTACTGGTTCTTTCTGGATCTCAGTAAGAAAGGCTCAACAACAAAATGGCTTAATAAGTTAACTGTTTAATAAAACAGAGTTAAGAGGAGGAATTTAGGTAGTAAATCTTCAGATGCTGGGCATCCTGTGTTCATTCAGCATCCAATGGAGCCAGGTGGATTTTCCCATGGCGTGTTGCACAGAGCAGATCCTGTCCACAGAGCAAAGCTTTCCCTTTTTTGGACCTTTAATCTATTATGTAATTTCCTCACAATAAAACAACTCTGTTCCAAAAGGATATTCTCATGAGAACTTCGCGCTGCACTTTGAGGTACAGGTAAGGCCATGCTGGTGGTGTAATCACCTGTACCAAATGGGAGCTGCCTGCAGGCTCCTCTGTTAGAGTGGGCTGGCTTTATCCTGTAGCCAAAGAATTTGCAGCCCAACACAGGCCTTTCCCTAATTGGTTAAGTGTTATGTCAGTCACTCACTCCTAAATGTGCAACGGTCTCTTGGCCAGGATCAACACATTCACTCCTTGATCCACCTACAGTTTACCTTTCCCAAAGCCATCATGTTACCGATGATGTTATTAAGATACAAGCTTCTCAAGCACAGTAGAGCAGACTGTTCAAGATCACTAACTCCCCGAATGCAATGTTTTCTGTAAGACTCCCAGTACAGCCTGTATGATCCAAACTGTTAAATGGACTAGATGATCCTACAGGTCTTTTCCAATCTGGGCAATTCTATGATTCTGTGCATCATCTCAGCAACGAAAGTCGTCTCTGGTAATACGCTCATGTCAGGAGAACTCAGACGACACCGGTGGTTTTTCAACTTGAAATTTGCACATAAACAATTCAGCTGATGATTGGTGGTGTAGTCAGATGTGGCAAAATACATGAAGGGATGAATCTCATTGCAAAAAATTGGTCTCATACATATATATATATATATAATTCACTTACTATTAAGACTTCCAAAAGCTTGCACATTAAAAGAATTGATTTATTACGTAAGTAAAATCTGTGATGTTCTGAGACATGGGCCTATGATTGATTGATTATTTTACTATTCATCTATTGATGATTTTACTGCAGAAAACACTGTGAGCCTTAAAAGCCTCACAACTACCTGCAGACCTTTCTATTAGTCACCTGTTAGTGTTCAGAACAGCTCTTCAGTGTTTATTGCTCTTCTGGACAGTAGATCCAAATTGTCTTTTTGAGTGCCTGTGAGGGTGGCAGGGAAGGAAACTTTTTTTTTTTCTAGATTCATGTATTATCTTTGGTCACAGAAACATTCCGCAGTATCTGAACAGTGAGGTATACAATGGCCTTACCTGTTCTTTGCAGTGTGTTGTAGAGAGTATCTTATTTGCTTGTTGCATAGTGTCTTCTTATTTGGAAGTGCTAAAATATTTATGAACTGAGAAGAGGAGCATGTTAATATTTCATGTAACTTAGGGATGTTTTCAGATAAAGTGGATTATAAATATCTTATGGTTAATCAGATAATAAGGATAGGAAAGACTATCTAGGTCAATCAGTCTGACCCGTTACATTTTGCAGGGCCACTATGCAAGTTCAACCAAGATCTTATTCATTACGTTATATTAAAAGTGTCAAATCAGTAGCTTCCAGTTATTTCCAGTTACACAGTGTAATCTAAATTTTACTTCAGGGTGTTCAAGGATAAATCGTTCTAACCTGAGATGCTTTTATGGTAATTAAATAAAAAAGGGAGAAACCTAACGACTGGGATACCTATGCTGGCAGAAAAATTCCTAACTAGTTCTCACTTATCACCATTTATTTCACAGTCGGGTGGAAAGGGCAGGAATTAAGACCAAAAAGAACATTTTGACCTAAATCCTTACTGGTAATGCATTAGGTCTGCTTGAAAGACCTAACGTACTTCTGTTTTGACTGATCAGCAGGGCTTGTACAGTCTTTCTCTTAAATTGTGTTGTCTTGGCATTCTCTATATATGGCTATATGGTCAGACTATCGTGTTCTAAACGAGTTGGAGTCTCAGCAGTCAAAAGCAGTGACGGACTCTCCATGGGCAGGTTGAATTAATCCTATCTTAAGGTTTATCACTGCACTCCAGCCTAGAAAGAAGGATGGGATATTCTAGCTACAACTTACTCCTGTTGGTTTTACTTCATGTTTTTGTACCTGCTTTTGTTAGTGTTTGATGTTATCTAGCATCAGTTGCATTTAATTGATAGGTGTCCTGATTTTTATGCTAGCCTGACTATCTTCCCAGTCTTAATACATGTTTTATTCCCTTGTTGTCCTATTTGCCTAATTAAAAAATGAGGTCTTCATGGTAAAGGTGATGTTTTAGGTTTTGATACTCTGAGTATAGGGAGCTGCAAGCTTGTGTATATCAAATAACAGGTTGGTATTTTGGTTCCTTTACTGTACTTTCCAGTTATGTATCTGGCTGTATTTAAAGTATATTTACCACAAAGGAAGGGCGTGGGGGTTTTGCTTTTTAATTTTATTTTATTTTTTACTTTCTTTTTTTCTGTTTACTTGCGTGGAGACGCACATGGGTTTTTCTCTGAAAGGTGAAAGATAATTATTTCAAAAGTGAAGCACAAGGGGGAGCTCGTAATTCATTGTGCGTGCATGATTTTTTTTTCTGTTTGACTCATTTATTTGTTTCTTTTCCAATAACATCGCAACGTGCCTTTGAACTGATGTGTGCTGTGTGTGTCCCGAAACAATTGGTGTGTTTTTTCTTACGGTTATTTTGATCTGTGTGTCTGCAGCATCCGAAGTGCTTAAATCCTAGCACTGCTTGCCATAGTGTGCAACTCATTTGACTCTCAACTAAAATGATGGTGAAAGTGGCTCTAATTTTATTTACCATATAGGTTATTTGAAGGTGTCTTAGAATAGGTCAAGGAATGTTCATGTAAAAAAAAAAATCAATCTAGTTCACCTTGCAGACTAATGCTTTAAAGATTAGTTATTTGTGGTAGATGTGTATCTTGTCAGTGCTGGTGTTACGCTGAGCAAACTGTCCACTGTGAATGGAGGATTGAGGAAGTTTCCAAGAGGAATCCTTAGCAGGTGACAAACTCGCCCAAGAAATCGGTGCCAGCTGATTTCCCTTGCATTAAAAACCGTTGGGTGTGCATTACCGGTCAGAGATCTGTGAGTTTGCTCTGTGTGTGGTGTTGTTGCTGTGTACTGGGTAAAGGTTTGACAGTGAGTAACTGTGACTCCGGTGGTGTTACAGGAGAAGCCTTGGTTACTGAAAGAAGGTCACAGAAATGAACCTTCTGCGTTGTTGATGTGTGGGCATACATACTACTACTAAATACACGCATCTCTGGGGGTCTTTCTTGAGGATTTCTGAGCTGTTTGTATTTTTAACATGTTCCTTTGTTTTCCAAGGAACTAGGTGGAGGTTGGAGTATCTTAAGTTCATGTGCAAACATGGTGATGTATATGAGGAATATTTTATTTTCTTTCTAGTGTCAAACTGTTAGCTCTTGTAACTAAAACCTTTGGATAAAGGTGACGTTTACACTCCATTTCCAATCTTCTTCCTGCAGCTAATATCAACCACCATTGTCCTTGTAACTGCATTCTGCTAAGGTACAAGGAAAGTAAGAGAATATCTCTGGTCTTTTCTCTTGCTACACATAGTTGTGAACTGTGTAGTTTGTTCTGCTTAACACAGAAGTTTTTTTGTTTGCTCTCATCCCGTCTTAATAGAAGATTGTTATTATTACGACAAATTAACAACTGCCTGAAGAAAACAAAAAGATCTGCTTCGCTTAGATTCTGTATCATTTAACAGAAGCATGTTAATTTACTTAGTTAACTGTTCTCAGTGAACCTTACTGTCTTGAGTCTGCCTGTGAGAATGCTCTCTATTCTGCTTTAAGTTATTAATCAATATTTTGTCATTAAAGAATAATCCTTTCTCTAAATGCATGGAACGTCAGTTAGAGGTAGTTTGACTTTAAAATGGAGATTGATAATAGTAGTAATAGCAACTGCGGAGTGTGATCCTCTTCTCTTTTATAGCATAAGCAGGATCTGTGACTAGGGGTTTAGATGCAAAACTAATCTTTCTTGACATGCAAGGTAGGGTAGACAGCTGGAAATGGCTGCTGTATAATAGACCTGTTTACTGGGTCTGTAGATATAAATATGTATTTATAGAATCAGGCCTCTTAGTCACTTTATTTTTGCCATCAGAATCTGGCTTCTCTTTCCTATTTCTCAGGGCCTAGGCAGTTTGGAAATCTGGTTCCTTTCAAAGACTAAGGTGGGATTAATAAACCATGTTGAAAAGAGAGAATCAAAAGCAGGTGTTTAACTTTTTCCATATTGCTGTTTTAAGGTTTGAGTTTAGAATTGGGGAAAAAACCCCAAACAAAACAAAACGACAAAAACCAAAAACAACAACAAAAAACCCAACCAACCAAAAAACCAGTGACAACTTAATAAATAGTATTAAACACATACTGTGACAAAACAGCCTTGAAACATAAAACTGAGGTTTAAATTTCCCACGAGTTGCATCGTATTTACTAGTCATTAATAAATGATTCATGAATTCTTACAGAAATGCTTTTTAGTTTTGAGGACCCTAGGCTCTCAAACTCAAGCATGTGTTTAACTTAGAGGTCCTGACACATCCCATCTAAGTCAGTAGAGGAGTGATCCCTCGCGTGAAGGGAACTGTGCTTATACCTCCCTAAGGCTGGAGTCTGCCAGCGCTCACCACAGACACGTGGTGGTTGGCATTCAGGAGCTTAGGGAGTGCAAGCAGAGTCACCCTTCCATTATCTGGCCTTGCTGGGGACTGGGATGCTCCTACTGCACCACAGCTGGCTAACGTGGGTACCAGGCAGTCTGACCCAGAGCAGGGTAATGCACTGTCCCTATGTCAGAGATCGATCGTCACTGGCCGGACTTCAGCTGGCTGCTTGGATTTTTCTGCTTTGTACACTTATTTTAGGTCCTGGGGGGTGGGGTTGTTTGCCTGGGTACAAACCGCTGGACTTTCCTAAATTTCTGTGCTGGTATGCCTGATGGGATCAGCAGGTGTGACATTAAGACAGCGTCCCTTTTCCTTGGTCCATCCTGAATTCAGCAGGTCCAAACCAGGTGAAAGCGGCTGTGCTGTTGCTGGAACCTGTAACGCTGACGAACTTGCATGATACTGACAGGTCTACTGCACATGTGTCTCTGTGGCAACGTTAACAGTTCACTGGGAGATGCCTGCGATGTAGTAATTGTGAAAAATAATAACAGTGAAAAAACCTGCCTGATTTTTGCTTAATAATTGGGTTCTAATGGAATGGGAGGGAATACTTCGAGTCACGGCTGGGAAAATTGTAGCATAGATGATGTTACTGCCTTTTTCAAGATGCAACTGCTGTTTAAAACTGTGTGACTTTTAGCTGACTTGTGCTTACAGTTTTGCCCCCTGCAGATAACATGCTGTTGACATAATCATGTTAACGACATAATTTCTATAGATGCTTTTAATGCCTTAAAACCTGACCGGTATCTATTTTCTGTATTTGCTTTTGTTAAACCTCACACCTGATGGAACTATTGAGTTTCTGTTAAAGCTTACCTCTGGCATTTTCTCCTCTTTGCAGGTATTTGTGGAAACACTAGACAAATGCTTTGAAAATGTCTGTGAACTGGATTTGATTTTCCATGTAGACAAGGTACTGTGATGAGCTCCTGCAATATCGTCGAGCAGAATGTTTGGTTCAACTACTCCTTGGTGTTAAACTGTGCAGTGATTCTGTTTCTATTGTCAGTGAAATTTAGACAGTTTCTATCAGCATATTATTTTTTAGACTCGAAAGCTTTGGTAGAACATGTCTTTCTGAGGAAAAATAAAATACTGAGGGAGATCTGCATGGTGTTACTGCACACAGAATGTCAAATTGGAGAAATCAGAATATTCTCAGTGTAGGACTTAGAAGAAGTTATTTCACGAAAACTATTTTGTTTATGGTTGGGTGTTCTGTTACTCAGAAATGAAATTGTTACATGGTTTTCCAGTTAAAGCTGGCGGTTGCCTTTCAGATGCTGTGATTATGTAATTTAAATGCTATGTGGATCTTTCTCTTGTAAATCTCAAACAGATGTTATGTCTTTTTTTCAAACATTTAGAAGCTGTCTTGTTTGGATATTCCCAGATCTCAGGAACAAGTGGGTTGGAGAAATGCTATTACTGTAGTAATCTTGCATTTAAAAGGACAAGGGGACTTGGTGTAATACCTAAAATGCTGAGAATGGAATACACAGAGTTTATTCCTTCAGCTGCATTTTGTGCCACCGTTGCTTTCTGTGCAGTCACATTTCCCCATCTGTGAACATCCTTTTGCCTCAATCAACAGCAAAAGACAATAGGAAAATAATACAAAAATCACTAAAAGCGGACTAATATTAGTAACGTGTTTAGCATCTGTAATAACCATTTGGAAGTGACTCAGTTTCATTCGAAATGAGGAAGTTCTTTTGGAAGAAAGACTTGCCCCTTGGCCAGACACGGCAATGCAGATGACCTTGAGTAGGTGTTTGAACTGATACGGTTCTCATGACCAGTCAAGGATTTCTAGCCGGGCTGGAACACGTTGGCTGTTTCCTCAATGGCAGATTAAAGTACAGAAGAATTTGAGTGGTTTATATGTTGGCTTCTGAGCTTGAAGAACCCAAATACTGCAATCGTTTTGTGACAAGGAGTTTGATCTTTATCCCTTAGCTGCAGAATACTTTGGTGCTATGCCGTCCAAGCTGTTGCTCTGTAGCACATTTCATTCAGTAGCATTCCCTAATATAACTACTCTTTTACACTTTGTAGGAGAAACATCTTTCTAATAAAATGTAGAGAATTTAGGTGCCTCAAAATGTTAAATTTCTTGAATATTTTGTTTTTATTGGATATGAGAAGATATTTTATTCTTGAAAACTATTTGTCAAAGGGCAGCTAAGATTTAAGCGTTTAATTTAATTTACTAAAAAACTGCATGAGAATGCCATTAAATGTTTTAGGTAGAATTTTTAAACTCTGAGAAAAATGTAAAACCTAAATACTAATTAGGTATTTTAGCAAAAGTAACCCATTTTCAAAATGAAAAGTCAGTGAAACCTTCAGTTAATTTTTTTTTTTTTTTAACATGGCATTAACCAGTGCAGTGATTTTTAACTTGAGCGTAAGTCAACGAAAGCAGGAAGTTGAAATCCTGCAGGAATACGAGTTTCCTACCAGCAGTACAGTAGCATTAGTTGTACAGTTGTCACTAATCTGATGTCATCTCCATTTTTCCTCACCCCCGGCCTCCCTCAGCATATATTGGTTTGTAAGACTTACTTTATAACATAAGATAGCATCAAAAATATTTGGTTCGGTCCAGTTTAGGTTCATCAGTATTCTTGTAGATCTGTAAGGAAGAAGAGATACAAAACAGGAAGGTGTATCTGTGAGAATGAAATTACAGCATTAAATCCTCTTTAAAGTGCTGATAAGGTCACTTTGTCAAGAAGCAAAGTATATTGAGTCTTCTGAGTGAGATTACACTAACCTTCTCTTGTCAGATATTTGTGTCCTGGCATGTTAATGGAGTTCAGATGTGCAGCAGGGAAAAATAGCAACTGCTGCTGGATGTTTGGCCCAGGCAGAGTCTTTGTTATAGTGAATGCTTACATGCGGCAGCTATTTGGGGTGAAACATTTCAACTGTTTGTATTTTGAGTGGTCTGGTGTTGAGGATTGGCTAATCGATTTGGAGGACAGCTGACCTGTCTCTTCAGTTCTTGATGGAGTTGTAGAAGGTGCCTTTCTCCTAATCAGCTTGCTAGGGCTGCCTGAAACACAAGAAACACGTTTCTTGTAAAAAATAACATGGCATGTAAAAGAGTTAAAGTGTGTAATCTCAACAGCTGTTGCTTCTTGAGTGACATTTTATGTGGCATTTCTGTAAGGAAACATTTACCTTCATGACACAGCTATCATTTTACAGGACCCAGTGGTGGCTTATAGTAACCTGGAGCCAAGAGAGATGCTTATTCGAGAAGAATACTGGTATTGTACTAGAAATTCATTTGGAGAATGGAATGTAGGTGGGACAGAGATAGTGTTTCTTATGTGCTGCAGCAGATGAGGACTTGTGGTGTCAGGGAGTATAGTTTGTACAGGAGAGAATTGGGCTTCTCTCTTACACATCAGCTGTATTAACAAACAAACTTCCTATAGCAAAACGTTTTCCAGAGGACGAGGTCTATTTCGGTCCTGTACTGATTCCTGTACTGAATCCAGGAGTCTAATCCTTCCTGATAGAAAAGGTGTTGTAGAAAGTTATCATAAGCATCTTTTATAACTAAAATACAAGAATACATTTAGTTAGGGATGTAAGGAAATACTTTTATTTTTCCACAAGTTTTTGGCACCTATTGAAATATCCCTGGGAGTATCATGACCCTTTCCAAGAATTTATTATCTGACCAGAACAGTAAACCCTTCAGAATCAGACTGCAGCTTGAAGACAAGAAAATGTGTTTGCCGAATTTTCCTGGGGGAGTGTTTTCTTGATGCATTCCTTCTCCACATTGATTAAAGCATACATTCATGCTTTTAGATAGAGCACAGAACAGAAGTAGGAAGCATTCCTGATTTTTGTAAAAATGCCTCAAAATTAGTATTGTAAAATGGGTGAAAGTAAGTCTTCAGTAAAGTATTAGTAACATGTTTCAGTGTATTTGCATTGTCAGTGTAGAGTAGACTGATGTTAGATCACCATGTTTTTAGCTTTTTTTTCTGATTGTGAACCTGAAAAGCTTTCAAATTCACCTGGTAACAAGCTTAATATGTTATGAGGGAGATATATATGCCAGGAGTAAGAGAGTGGCTTAGTAAGGATTGTTAAGCTTTCCCATAAGTATTTGATTCTTAAAGTTTGACTCAGCAGCAATAGGCAGAGAGGGAGAGCTGGTTTCAGCCTCTCTAAACACATTTATTACAGGTTTCTTCTAAAATATAGTCATGGTTTATCAGGGAAACAACTTTGGAATTTTGTTTTTGAGCTGTGGCACAAAAGTGGTGTTTTCTTATACTACTATTCTACTTGCAACTCATCTTCAGAATTGTTTGATTTAGGGATTTACTTCTGTGCCTGATCCACAGGGAAATCGGAAGAATATCCAAAATAATAGCAGAATTATGCTTTGAAGTGTCAGACTTTGCAAAGAGTTTATTTCAGAAAACCAATAAAATGTTCCTTGTCTTCAGATTTATAATGGGATCTAAATGTTGTTCATTTACGCATTAACTCTGGATTTTTTGCTAGGAAGTATGTGGAAGCATGCCTTTAGATGAAGAGTCGTTTTTTTTTTACAGGCGTAGTCGAAGTAGCCGTGTCTTGGTACCCCTCTTGGGTGAGCCACCACTGTTGGCTCCAAGCCCAAAGTAGTTTTTACACATCTATTTGTGAGCAATTTGTTTAATCCTTTAGAACCGTCTCCTTAAAGGTATTACTGCTGTCGCTGCTACTTAGTACTTGTCCATAGCTGTTGGGTAGAAAGATGTATGGAAAGACAGATGAATGTGGACATTTGTTCTAGCATGAATAAGCAAAGTGGTATAGCTGATGAGTTCGTCACAGAACTGTAAGCGAAGAAGATACTGGACAAACAAACATCCAGTTATGAGCTTTGTTCCTAAATGGTTTCAAATAACTTGCTAATGTGAATTGACTTACAGAATATGTGTGTTCCTGCATTGAGGAATCTCAGTATCATCGTCCAGATGCATGTAAGATGGATTGTATTCTTGAATTTTCTTCTGGTCTTTTTTAGGTCCATAATATATTGGCCGAAATGGTCATGGGTGGAATGGTTTTGGAGACCAACATGAATGAGATTGTCACGCAGATTGATGCTCAAAATAAACTGGAGAAATCTGAGGTAAGAGTGATGCACTGTGTAGTTTCTAAACTAGAAACGTGGATATAGCAAATGTATGCTATATAATGCTGTTTGTCCTTCGGTAGCAAACTATACAGCTGCTTGCTTGCAATGCTGGGAACGGACAAGGCATCGTTAGGTTAGCATGTTGTGCCTTTCACATAAATAATCATTGCTGAGAGCCGCTGCTGATTAGTTTTTTGCTGTTTGTATCTCATAGCACTGTGTGCCATGGCTACTGAGATACTTCTGTAGTTCTCCAAGTGTCTCTTGCAGAAAACATTTTGTTTCCAGTGTATTTATTATGCTGGACTAGTGACTATGACACTTAAATGAAATTGGATAGGGAGTCGAAGTGTGTAGACAAAGGCTTCGTATTCCTGTCTGCTAGTATGTTTCCAGCACCTGAAAAAAATGGCAGCACATTTAGGTTCACAGTAATAGTGCAACAAGAAATAATAAATTGGACTGGACTAGGTAGAATTTAGGCCCAGTTTTAGACCCTTAAAAGTAAATAGGAATTTTGCCATTTTGGTAATACAAACATTTAATCATCAGTGGAGTAGATTTGAGTAGGAAAATTATATTCTGATTATGCCCGTAACAGTCTGAGCGAGGGTCACTCAACGTAAGCTGTGGGAATACATCTTAAATTCAACAATTGCTGAATTTGTGTTTAGGAAAGAAACTTAGGCTAAGAAAGAATTTTTAGAATTCCTTTAGCTGTAACACAGGATATTACTGTTCCTTTAACATGCTCAGACATTCCTTGTAAGCCAAAATACTACTAGTACATCTTAGCTAAGTCTGTGATCGATTCTTACTGGTGGTAGTAATTCCACAGAAGAATACACCATCTGATTTTTTGCAGCATCGTATTCAACTTCCAAATGAACCTTTGCTTGAACTGGAGACTGTTTCTAAAGTTGGAGTCAGCTGAATAGATTGACATATTGCAGGTGGCACAAATATGAACTAAATGACATTTTAGGAGAAGACCCAGACAACTTCCCAGTTTTAACTTCAGGGCAACAAAAAGAAATTAATTCTTCAGCTTTATTTGTGGTTCAGTGTATATCTACTCCTAATTCTGCAGTCTCACACTGCGCCACCTCGAATCTTTTAAAACATCTAATTGTCCGTTTTGTAAAACTTCCAAACTGAATCCAAGAACAGGACAACACTGTGTGAAAGACAGGAAAAAGATAGGTATGATATGATAGAGTGCATAGCAATATACGTCCAGAAGGATTATGTTGTGGATTATAAAAATGTCCAAAACATTCATTTTAGTATTTTTCTCAAACTCAGAATGACCCATTGGTCATAGAGATGAATATTCGGAGTAATTCCCATAAATTCTGGTAGTATTTGAATAACTTCTGTATACATGTATTATTCTTTATTTGATGGGAAAGTAGCATAGTGTCCCAACCTGCTGAGCAGCGATGTTCTACCTTGTTTTATGCGCACACCAGTTTTACATAAAAGCACTTAATTAAGGTATTTATTCTTCACTATGTGAATTTTGTTACAAAATCAACTGTAGACCAGTCTCTGACTAGTCACTTGAAACACATTGATTCAGTGCAGCCAGCTGCAATACTTGCTGTTTTCCATTATTCATCAGTAAGTCATTCTTTCTGTTTAAGATGCGTTTAGTGTAAAAAATCGGCGTTAGAAGATATAAAAATACAGTTAGAGCTTTGAGCGTATGCAGGGCAAATAGCCTTTATGTTCAGGAATGAATTATAGAAGGTAAAGAAATGTCAGTGATAAATTAAAATAATTGGTGACGGGGATGAAGTAGAACATTTCACAGTCTGCTCACCACAAATGCCTTTTTTTAAATTTTTTTCCCCCTTTGTTTCTTCAGTAACTGATTCTTCTCAAACTTAACAGTTACTGTAATGCTGAGATACTCCACAATATCTGGTAACTATTTTCTCAGATCATGAATCGTTTCTTTCACGTATATCCACAGAAACTTCCTGATTGCTATTTGTTTTCCTTCTGTCTTTTTGATCAAGATTGTAAGTCTTTCAACATGTTTTTCCTGAACATGTATTTTCAAGATAAAAGCAATCCACTTCATATAAATCAAAATCAATAATAATAATATTTTTGGATGCTGGTCACTAAGAAATCAAAACTAGTGAATCTTAATGGTTTTCTTAATTTAAAAAAAAAGTATGTTTTTTAAATTTAGAAATTATCGTTGATACAGTCTGTAGTTCATAGGACTGCCACCTATGCCACAGCACTCGCTTTAGCCTCTGGCTTCTTAGACCTCCATCATAGTTCTTGCATCCATTAAAAAGCTGCTTTAAGGTTGAATTGTCTTTTATAGCTGAAATGATGAAGCTAGTGAAGTGGTAACTAACCTACATTTTCAGAAATAGTTTATATTTTGTGTTATGTCCTCCTGGCTTCCTTTAATATACAGAATTTAGCCGTTTGACATCAGGTATTGGCTTAGGTATTAGGTCTCTAAATAGGCTTTCAGTTAGAATGTAGTGAAGAAGTTTGAATGTGTTTATTAAATTCACAGATATTTGAGCAAAGTTATCAACTCAAAGAATTTGTTAATGCTTTCAACAGAAATAAATTATTTAAACCACTGTGAGGGAGTCCCTAGCTTTGATTTCTGATTCAGCTCTCACACTGCTTGGATGAGCTGCAAAGGAAATGCTAGTTCCACCCTGAGAAATGTTGTCTTAAATGCATTCCCCTACTTCTCAGTTCAGTGTTTTATCTGTGAATGGATTTCTGGTCAATCCTCCTGAAGACAAAGGATCGTTGTGAATAAGGGAGGGAATTTTTGGGAGAGGGGTCATTGGGATTTTATCCGGAGTCTCTGGAAGTTCTGTAGGTAAACCTGGGCTACCTCTTCTCTATTTGGAGTGTTCAACAGCATGTGATTTAGACTTTTAAGCTGGACCTCATTTTCTCCGAACCTCCTGATCTTTTCTAGCTCTTTCCATTCTTCTCTCTTACAGACCTTTATCTTTCAGTCTCCCAGACAGGACAGGTAGACAAAGGTATTGCTGACTTTTAGAAAAAATGTACTTTTAACAAAAAGGGAAAGCAAAATGATGTCAAAGGCAATAAATTATGTAGGCCAGACTCAAAAATTATGTGTAAAAATACCCATGCTAGTCCTTGTAGCCTACTTTTTGTGCTAGTTTCTTCTTGTAGTTCCCTCATCTTTTTATTGGCTATAGTGTATTTTACTAGCTTTCCATTGACATCATATTTTTTATTTTATTTCTCTTCCTGCATTTTGGAATTTAACTTTTCTTTGTATCATTGTTTAAGAAACAAAGGAATATGAACTTGTATGAGTATTAACCAAAAAAACTGCAAAACTAATCTGAATAAAAATTGAACACACAGATAACAAAATGTGATGTGATGACATAATGAAAACAGTTTCCTTATTGGGAGAATTTTGAACCTGATAATCTAAAATGGGCAATATGAACTCTCTTGCTTCACCATTTCGTATTTCTAAATGAAAACAAAGGACTTCTACCTGCTTGCGAAGAGAAGATTCAGAATAAGTTTCAGGTGAACAAAACTTTACAAAAAACCCCACCAAAACCAACAGACTCAAGTAGTTTTGCACAAACGGAATAAAATTATCAGTGCAATTTGTAAAGATGATGTAGAAAATGCCAAAGCTGATCTTTCAACCTTAAGTATATCCAACATAAAATGAGAAGGGCCATCAGCATGTACTCATCTTCTTGTGTACGTTTGCTGCCCTTGCGATCCGAATCACTGGACATGGCTTAAAGATATCCTGGTAGCTGAGGTCACTGTGCATGGATTTCAACAAGAAATTGAAAAAGGAGGAGGAAAATGTACGTTTGAAGTTCAGTTTATGGTCACTGTCCCCCATCATTTGCTGTTTGAAACGTTTAGTTCAGCTCAGTAGTTGGGATGTCAATCAGTGTTAACTGCAGCATTTCAAAATTCATTTCCACTCATTTTAAGTATCTGTGTATTCAAACTGCAGGTATTTTAAATAGCTGGAATCTTAAGCAGATGAAGTTTATTTAATTTATGAATAGCTTTGTTCTTTTTACATTATTCTTATAGGATAAAGTAATATAATACCTTCAAGATTTAAGAAACATAATTCTGTAATTGGATTTATTAACATTAAGTTGTAAAGCATCAGCTAAAAATATTTGGGTAGTATGAAACGTTTTACCTAAATTTGAAGTATGCTGTAGCACGTGAAGAAAATCAAGCAAATGACCTTCCTCTGCCTAATATGTCAACACTTGTAACATATAATCTCTATTTCATTGTAACAGTAGGGAGCTTGATTTCAGTTTTTGTTTTATTTGTGCAAAGATACTTTTATTTTTCTCTGTTCTGCTCACACATATTGTGTTTTTATTTTTGGGTCTGGCAATGAAAAACAAACAAACAAATAATTAATCATTCCCATCCATTACTCTCTTTGTGATTCAAGTGCTTAAAATTTCTAAGAGTATGTCTTAAGTCTTCTTATCTGTTTGGCCTCATTTTGATATACTTGCAGACTTCATTTTGTTTTTTCTCTAATTATGTTCATTTATTTAACTTCATAAGCAGGGGACATGATCATTCCTTTATATTATGTATTGCATCCTCTCATGGTTTCATAACCCTGCTGCTTTGAAGTCATACTTGTTCTGGAAAGAGAAGCATTGGTATGAAACACCAGCAGCAGAGAGGTCCTAGTACCTCTCAGATATTTGGAAAGGTTGGCTTATTTTGCAAACATTAGCCTTCATTATTTTGTTTTCCAGTAGGCTGTCTATTTTTATATGCTTATGTTAGTGATAGCAAGCTCTGTGTAGAGTTGTTTGGGATGGCGGATTGAATCTTGGGTTTTGCTTAAATTTTTTTTTTTGGTATATGCATATTAACTACGTTTTGTGATGTGCAGTCTTTTTTCCAGATGATCTGAATTTCTTTTTAAAGAGTAAAACGGTGTTTCTGGGATCGCTTTCATATCCAGTTATCAGTGGTGAATTATGAGAAAGGGTGATGATAAGAAGGAAGAAAACTGATTCTGATAGTGATAAATAATGACCTAAATAAACCAGGAGCAGCTCACATTTCTCACTTGATAGGCTAGGACCAATAGCATAAAAGCTCTGATACTAATTGTGTCTATTTCAATCTTTAAAATAGCATTACTGTTTTGTGTCCCTCTTTCACTCCAGAAGTATATGAACATGATTACAGCATTTTTTCAGTAACTGAATCTAAAATTTTAATATACAGCATTTCAGCACTAAAGTACAACCTTCAGTAAAAATGAAACTAAGAATACAAAGCAGCTGTGGCAAAACTCTGGTGTATTGGCTTATTGTAATATCAGCTGTATGCAATTCTGTATTCCTGAAATTTCATTAGTGTGTCTTAAGAAGTTTCATTTTCACTTGCTTACGTCATTTGCTCGCTATGACAGACAACTCATCGTTCACTGCACGTTTAAAGCTTGCTACGTGGTTTTTTGTTGTTTTGTTGTGGTTATTGGTTTTGGGGTTTTTTTTCCCCCAAGTGAAACAGGTTTTTTTTTCTTTGCACCTCACCAACTTACCTGCTGAATTATTTGGTAAAAAAGGCAGTTGAAACTGTTCAGTGTTACAGTGATGGTTCCCTTAAATCAGGTACCTCTATAAAACTCCTTAAAAGCACAATGGGCTGGAAGCACTCCTTGTGTTCGTAAATACAGTTCTATTTCTGTGAAAGAAAAGATAAATAAATGGAAGGACTGCATACTGGTTCACTCTTTGACCACGACACACGCTAAAAAATAATGCTAACACATTTGGGTGTAGTAGCTTTTGAAATCGTGTATGGGTTATGCCACTTTGGGAGTTTAATTTTCAGCCATTTTATCCATCAGACACTTTTTTATGAACTGTTTGCTCTCTCTTAGAAATAGGCATGACTGTATTGTGCTCAGTAGGGTTGACACTTAATTGCAGTAAATAGCATTCTGCTGTGCATTATGTGTACACTGAGTTACAAACCCACGTAATACGGAGCGTTACAGGAGAACGTAATAGTTTGAAAACCCCTTCTCCAGCATATGGTAGTGAAAGACAATCTCGCTGGGAAAAAAAAAAAAAAAAAGTTAATCTGAAATTTGTAGTACTTTCATCCGGGATCTTCGCTGTTCCTCATCCAGAATAGTCCTCATGAAGTGTGACTGTGACTACCGGGGGTGGGGGGGGTGGAAGGGCAATGGTCATGTCAATTTGTGGTATTTTAAATAATTCTCAATTGTGTCTCCATTGTATCCTATGCCATTGGGGCGGGAGGCAGGGACTGTAAGTCTGTGTAAAGAGGATAGCTGCAGGTAGGTAAAAATAATGACCAGTTATACTATAACTTTTATTTGTCCATTAAGAATAATTAACTTTCATTAAATTAGGGTAAGGAATCTCCATCCTAGTCACCTGGAAGGCATCTCTCTTTCGAGTTGCCAGCCATGCCTGTTTGTGTGGACCATGTCCATCACAGTACTTTTCTGGTTTCCCATTGTTTCAGTTAACAAATTGTACAATTCATTGCTTTTGTTACTACTTTATTAGTATTTTCATCTTCTCTATGGAAAACAGTTTACATTGCCCCACTTGTGGTTTTGCTTAAAGAATTTTTCTCTGGTTACTGAATACAGAATTTAAAGGGCAGTACCAAATAAAAAGAAAAGTCATGTATTGTTTTATCCGATAAAACTTCACTGGTAGTTACCTCTTGATTTCAAAGTAGGGTTTCTGAGTTCTCAGATATAAAAGGACAGTGTTGAGCAGCTTCATTATCTTCTGCACTGTTTTTTTTAATAAATAGCAAGAAATTGTGGTGTCTCCTTTAAGATATTGCAGATTTAGGGATGCAGATTTTGGGCACTTGCATTTCTCAGTGCTGCTAATGTTAGGCCCAGATTTTTCCCCTTCGTGAGGGTATTGCAATTGAAACGGCCTCCGAGGTGAACGGCCTGATAGACTTAGTGATGTTAAGGGAAACCAAGGAAAAAGGAGCTTTGAAAATACCTTTTTTGCACCTTTTCGGTTTTATTTAGTCTGAGAACCAATAATTTGGACTATGTCAGGGCCAAAGTGAGAGAAAGTTATTTGGTTGCATTAAAGATTTCCTGAGCTTCCCTCTCTACCCCCACACGCCTCTCCCAACGTTGTCATGTCTCATATGAGTGTTTGGTAGTGGGAATGTTACAACAGATGACTTTCTGTTCCCTGTTCCTGGTACTGGGAGTCTTCTCATGACCAAAATCTAAGGATTTACGATGCTTTAGCCTTTGCACATGGTATAAGAGGGTTAGTTCGGAATCAGAAACTTTGATTGGTTTTATTTTTTCTGTGGGTTATGTTTTTGAAGGGACAACATTAGGCAGGATTTTAAATGGAAATCTTATGTTAATTTGACCGTATGTTTATTTCTTGTAAGAGAGTAGCGAAAGGAAGAAGGTATTTTTTTTGGAAAACCCTCAGAAAGTAGATTTGTTGTCTGAGGAGTACATAGGGAGTCTGTTTCCTTTTGTGCACGAGTGCAGGTGGACACCACGGAAGTCAGGTGTACTCCTCAGTAATAATATCCTGCAATTGCTACGAATTTCAGTGGAAAACAAGAATTTGAAACGGTTATACTTTGGTCAGTAGTCACCTACCAACACTATTTAATAATCAGATATGACACAGACTTTTCCAGAACTTTTTCTTCTTTTGTTTTGTCTTTCTGTATTTCTTGCTCCTCATTATTTTATTTGCAAATGCGCTGGTTTCTTCAGTCTTTGGCACCTTTGTAATGAAAGACCTGCCATTTCTACAGGTTTAGTCTTTTGTTTAACCGGTTCTTAGCCTGTTGCTTTGTTTCTTGTGGGTTGCTCCCTTTTGATGGGCCTGCAAGATGCCACACTCTAAAACTAATAGTTCTGAAAATTGCTTCGTGGTCTTTATTCTTTTTGAGTGTTTTTAATCCTACTTCTAAAATATCAAAATAAAAAGTTAATTATTTTACATACTCACAGAATTTGGAATATGATATATTTTTTTTTTTCCTGCAAATAAGAGCTCGGGTTTTAAAATCCTCCAGCCTTTTCCCCCAGCAAGAACAGAAATTGTGTCTACGCCTTTGTGGCAAGCCTGAAATAAAATCACACAACTAATTCTAAATAAACACAGGGAATCTGAACTTGTGGGAGGAACATTTCTATACTTAAAATGAATTTTACCTTTCCTACACAGCATCAAATATAGTAACAACTTAATTATTGGCCTTTTTTTAAATAGTTCTTAAAATAAGAAGGTTTTGAAGAGGTACTCTTCATCAGAAGGAATAGGGAAGAATCATGTTCTGTATGAAAATGATCTTATTAGCATTTCAGTAATAAAACATAATATGTAAGGGGGCAGATATTGTATCTAAAAGGCAGAACTGAGTCAGTAATGAACTTTTATGTTGTAAAACTTTACACAGAACGTCTCTGGCTTTAAATGAAAAGAGGCTACACATATTTGAGGACTTGAATAAAAAATAGGTACTTCAGTGTTAAATTGGGCATAACCAGGTAACTGTGTGTTGTTCCAGTGTGCCGTGGGCTGCAGATCCGTTAGCATACAATTAGATACGATGGGACAACAGTTTGCTCCAGTCGGTCTATAGGAATGGTCTTCCTGCTTGCTCTTTGTCACCCACAGATGCAAGGTGTTTATCCTTTTCATTTTAGGCTAAGCCACCTTGAAATACCGTATATATGTGTTCATTTAGATAAGTGGTATGGTCCCACGGACGTTCAGTCGCTCGTTGGAGGTCACGTGTTGTGAACCTGTAACCAGCGTTAGTCAACCCTCCACCATGTGAGCTTTTAGAGTAGGTAAGAGTCAGAGGCAGCACACTGGACTTCAAATACCTCGAGGTGGTCTGTTCTGTAACCTACACATTACACACCCTTGGATAAGCCTCCTGTTCCTCCCCCCATGCTTTTCCATCAAGTCGACATTACATGTTTTACCATATAAAAAGGAATGTGTGAACTGTTTTCTCTTTCTGGTTTAATATTTCCAAATAACCCATTTCATTCCAAACACGATTACCATCTGGTCTTTCTAATTGTGTAACCATGGAAATACTTGAGAAGTTAGTTGTCTGTGTATATTGGTAGTGAATCTTCTCGTAACCAACTTTGCCTGACTTGCATTTTTCCTCACTTTATACACAGGCTGGTTTAGCAGGAGCTCCAGCCCGGGCTGTTTCAGCTGTAAAGAATATGAATCTGCCAGAGATCCCAAGAAATATTAATATTGGTGACATCAGTATAAAAGTGCCAAACCTGCCCTCTTTTAAATAACATGGCTACTCCAGGTAAAACAAAGGAAGAGACGTAATAGAGATTTACCGCTTAACTGTTTACTAAATAAACGACGTGTCTGACTTTTACTATTTGCATAAAACCTAAGGTACTGTATAGACATCATTCGAGAAATCAGTGTGTGGAGTTGAACGTTGCTTTTGTCTTGTTTGTGAATTTAAAGGAAAGGGGTAGTTCCCGTGTGATTTCTAAGTTACATTCCTGTGCCCTTGTAAGGCGTGTCACTCTGTCTCGGCTGCTGCAGTGTTTTGGGAAAGCATTTGAGATGTTCCTTACTTTGTATAACCTATAACGCTGACTTGTTTTGTATAATCACTAAGGTCTATAATTAGTGCATTCCTTAACTACTTCTGCTGTTTGTCATGATAATTTGAGACTTAAGTGCAGATGTTGCATGAAAACATTAAACTCTTTGTTTTGTTTAAATAAAATCATAACAAACCGGACTTCTAAATACCTGTTTGTCTGAAATCTACTCTTTGCAATAAATCATGTTATTTCCTATTCACGGAGCCAAGGGACTGTGTACAGGTATGGTTGTGGCGAGCACTGACGGCGTGGTTTCATCCCCGAAGGGGTTACACGGGGGTGTTGCGTTGAACGTATCGGCTCTTCGCATTTCTCACAAAAGCTGGAGGAGAAGCTGCCATCACTGAAGATCTGACAACTCCTGTTTACATGTCGATGTTGAGAAGATACTTACACAGTCTGGTAGACTTTCCCTGACGGTCTGACTTTCTTTTGGGGGAGAAGGGTCTCCGCAGTTGCTGTGTGTGTTGAAGTACAGAATGGGCTGTGGAGATGGGCAGCTCGGAACCGTAAATGTGAGTGTGTCAAGTAATGGGAGAAAGAAAGGCACTCTGGAGAGATAAATAAGATACTTTAATAGGGCCTCTGTGCCTGCTGACATCTGTGATTCTCCGAGAATGAGATTTAAGAGATGCTCAGTATTGTCAGGACCTCAGAAAATCAAAGTGCTATCACCTCTGTGTAAGCTGTTCAGCTCTTAAACTCTTCTGTGATTTACAAAAAAAAAAAAAGGGGATAGTGATTGTTTTTTTATAGTGCTCTTAAGCTCTGTGTGATGTACAAGTCTGTTTAAATGAATAATAAAAATATCATTGGAATATTAAGAATTCCTGTAAAGTTTTCTTCTCCAAAAAAGTATGCCGTTGAAGGTGTCGATGAAAATGCAGCGATAATATATCAAGGACAACGCATTACAGGACTAGTCTGAGGGGTCGTGTGTTGCTTCAGAAACTTGGATTTGATGTAAACCAAGCATTCTTTCCCTTTGAGTTGAATGTTGAGACATATCCCATAGGATGAAATTGGAATCACATCACGTTCTCTGTTTGATCCATAGTAACTATCAGTGTCTTTTGAGAGCGTTTGGGAAAGAGAGACGGAAATTACTTGTGAAGCAGGAAATCTGATACAATCCAAGGAATCCTGATGTATTTCTTAAGGTGGGGGAAAAAGGAATGTCACGTGTATTGTTCACATTACATTTAATAAGCATCAAGTAACGCTATTTTATTAATGCTTCTGAAAACAGAACTACACTCTCCATACCTCTTGAAAAGAACATCTGTTCTTCCAAATTAACTTCCTAAGTTTGAGGCTTTCGGAAGTTTCAGGTGGGGTTTAAGTAGAAAACTGCTACTTTCTCATTTCCACTGAAAAAACTGAGAGAACGAAACGTGAAGCATTTTTTTCCTCCCTGAAGTATTCTTTAGTATTCCCAAGTTAGACACCTCGGCTGGTACAAATCTGGAACTGTTGTGTTTCACCTGCTTTGCCAACTTCTGTTTTTCTGCTTAATGCATAGGCCATGTGACATTCAAAGTAAAGATGCTGAAAATTCTCCATATTGTTCCCTCTGTGAGGATTTAGGTGATGCTTCTGCTGAAGGATAAGTAGGAATTCTGGAAACGTTTGTCGCTCTGACCTGCGGGGAGTTCTGCCTGTTTATGAAAGGAGCTCACCATCTCAGAAATTCTTCCAAGTCCTCCTTTTTTTTGTTTTTTGTAAGCTTATGTAGTTAAAACATATTTCGTTTTTGACAGAGAAATGTTTTGTGGGTTTATCTGAATCAAACATTTTTGCAGACCCTTAGAGAAAATTTGTCTGAGGTGCATCTTGTCATGAAGTGTATTTTATTTCAGGTTAATTTCCCACCTTTTAGGTGTCAGTAACAAGGCTTTCATTCATTTTAGTGAAGTAGATCTTAGCTCTTAACAGTTACATGACTATTTTAAAGCCTTTTTTTTTTTTTTTTTGCTTTGTGTTTTGCATTATTGCTGTTTATACTACCTTTGTCCTGCCTGACAGCATGGCTTCTGCTGGACAGGATTCTCCTCTGGACAGCTTTTCCATGGACACCAGATTTCGAGAAGTTTCTCTGTGGCTGGCCAGCAAACATTTAATGCGAGGCTGTGGTTAACAGCTGGAGCTTCCTCACGCAGAAAATCATTGGGTGGGAAGAAATTCTTTATCATGTTTTCACGGCAAAATTGCTCACGTTTCAAAGAGAAATTCTCTCTTCACACACAGAAGAGGTACCGTACGTAAAGCCTGAGCGGTGTGGTATTTGTTTTTCTCAAACGCAGTGGGATGAGCGTGTGGCCTTCCTCAGGGTTGCTGAACGTGTCTTTTTTGCCTCCTCTTTGCCAGGGGAGACACTGTCTGCTTAGCATGTCATTTGACTCTGCTGGGCTTTAAAGTTAGATCAGTTAAATGGGATTAACTGATACTAACTGATAGGAACTCATATATGGGATACTTGATTGATGGAAATGATGGAAATGATATTCCTACTTTTGACCTTCTAGGGCTTGCCTTGTGTTGCAGGTGGTCACAGGTTTTCCACGACGCTGATCGGCTCGTGCTTGTCAGCTTCCTGAGATTGATGTGCCCACTGAGATTTTTCCCCTACTGCTCCGGTGTCCTGTTAACTACTGCTTAGGATGCTGTGCTAGTTTTAGTCGGGACTGAGCTGGTTCTCTTCACAGTAGTTAGTATGAGGCCATGTTTTGGATTTCCATGGAGAAGAGTATTTATTGGTAGTGCTGGTGGTTTTAGTCGTTGCTGGGGCCTGTTCATACCGAGTCAGGGACTTTTTCAGCTTCCCATACTGCCCCTGTGTTCCCAGCTGCTGCTCTACGAGAAGCTGGGAGGGTGTGTGGTCAGGATGGCTGGCCCAGACTGGCCAAGGGAGTATTTCACTCCATGAAACGGCATGGTCAGAGCATGGGCTGGGGGTTGGGCCAGGGGTGGGCTCGCCCTCTCTCCAGCTCTGGCTCTCCGTCGGTCAGCAGGTGGTGAGTGGTTGTATTGCTTGTTTTCCTTTCCGTTATTTCCGTTACGTAGTATTAGTACTGTTGGTATTATTGGTGTCACTCTTTTATTTCATTTACTTTCCATTCTTAAATACTTCAAATCTCAGCCCACGAGTTTCTCTTTTCACAGAATCATAGAACGGTTTGGGTGGGAATTATCGATGGCACAGTCCGTACAGGTGCTGCGTCACCGCAGTCCCCTCTCCTCCCGCAGTAGTGAAGTACTCACTGTTTTCAGTGTGTTTTGGGAAGGGGGAGTATTTCACAATATTACAAGTGTATACAGAGTTCCTCCCCTTTAACAGATGTCGCTGCTCTGATTCATTCTGCTTGACAGGAATGGGTGGAGCCAAGTGTCACTTTTTGCAAGGGGGAAAGGGGTTCAGACTGGAAACTCAGAACTGGTGCTGCCTTCCTGTGAGCTTATTTAACCTTTTCTCTCTAGTAGCACATTCCGATAAATGCTAGAACTGAGTTTCACTTAGCCAGATGTTGAGAGCCCAGGGGGAACTTGCTCGTGGTCTATAGGGTTACCTCATAAAGCTCCTTGATCCTAAATTATAGTGTAAACAGGGCATGAAATACAGAGGGAACTGGAAATAAAGTGTCACAAATCACATCTTTGTCTGTTAAAAAAAAAAACAAAACCCAAACCCCACAAACAAACCAGAGCTGAAGTCTTGCACAAAATTCATTTCTCAACCTCTGCACAGAGTATTCATAATTTTACTAGGAGTAAGGAAAGCAGCCAAATACTGCCAAAACTGACTAAAGGTGAACAGTTAACTTCACAAAAAGAAAAGAAAATCTTTAGTTATTTGCTTTTACGGTTATCATAACAAATTGTAAATCTCTCTCCGTTTAAGGAAGCGGTCTGTCCATGTGCTTTTTGGTGTTCAGTGTTCACCCCGAAATGGGCTCAGGTGACGTCATTGCCTCCATTCCGCAGCGGGAAAGGCAGAGGGAGTCACGCTGCAGGGTCAGCTTTGCAGCCCGATCTCGCCCGCGGGAGGTTTGGCCTTGCTGCGCGTGAGGGGTGCTGTGACAGCGTGGTGGGACCAGGGGGAACGCAGACTGGGTATGTCTGTGGCTGGAGTGCTGGAGGTGTTTGAGCTGCGCCGTCATCCATCCCACCAGGCAGAGTGACACGCGCTTGTGCCGTATTCCGCTGCTTTCCTGCCCAGTTTGGCTCTTGTGAAGCTCAGCAGTGCACACAGGCTCCAATTGCCCCTTTCTGGGCTGGCTCTGCTCTCCAGCCAGCCAACAGGACTGCTCCAGGGGTGGAGCACATCCCTCTCTGGATTATCTCGGAATAGCTCTATAAACTGCCACCAGAGCTGGAGCTAAAAGCAGCCCAGTGATGGTGACTCTGAACTGCTTGGATGGATGAGTGTATGGTCTCCCTGTTTTATTTTGGCTTTCACAGCCCAATCCGTTGTACGATTTTCAGTGCTCAGCCAGCAGCGTTGCTGTGGGACACAAGTGGAATTTCACAGCTTCAGGTGTTTGTGGGGTACCTGCACGACCCCTGTGTATGGCGGGGTACCTTCAGGAGCAGCACTCTGTGTGCGTCGGAGAAACGTCTGCCTTCGGTGTGGCCATGTAAGTGGCACCCACACCTTCTCCACCAAAGGCCCATCCCAACAAATTTGACCAAGCAGCGTGCAGGAGTGCAGAGAGAGAAGCAAAACTGGAATGAACACGGCGTTCAAATCAGTCCTTACACTAGTTTGTTGTGCTGATGCGTGTCAGGACAGCAAAGACCTTTCATGGGATCTGTGAGCCAGCACGTGAGCCGGCCGTGTGCGCTGGCAGCCCAGAAAGCCAACCGTATCCTGGGCTGTATCCAGAGCAGTGTGGCCAGCAGGTCGAGGGAGGGGATTCTGCCCCTGTACTCTGCTCTGGTGAGACCCCACCTGGAGTGCTGCGTCCAGCTGTGGAGCCCTCAACTCAGAAGGATATAGACCGGCTGGAGTGAGTCCAGAGGAGGCCACGAAGATGCTCCGAGGGCTGGAGCCCCTCTGCCATGGGGACAGGCTGAGAGAGTTGGGGGTGTTCAGCCTGGAGAAGAGAAGGCTCCGGGGAGACCTTATAGCCACTTCCAGTGCCTGAA